TTATTGGAAAGGCAGATATACAGAGAGGAGAGATAGAGAGGAAGATCTTCCATCCGATGATTCACTCCCCAAGTGAGCGCAATGGGCCGATACTATGCCAATCCAAAGCCAGGAGCCTCTTCTGGGTCTCCCACGCGGGTGCAGGGTCCCAAAGCTTTGGGCCGTCCTCTGCTGCTTTCCCAGGCCACAGGCAGGGAGCTGGAAGGGAAGCAGGGCTGCCGGGATTAGAACCGGCGCCCATATGGGATCCCGGGCGTGCAAGGCGAGGACCTTTAACCACTTGCGCCACCGCGCCGGGCTGGGTTCCTTTTTAATACTGAGCAGCACCATGAAGTCTGGGCTGATTCTTTTTTTCCCCTTAAAAATGTTTATTTTATTATTTGAAAGGCTGGAACTAGACTAGTGTGGAGCCAGGAGCCAGACACTTCCTCCAGGTCTCCCATGTGGGTGCAGGGATACGAGCACTCGGGCCGTCCTCTGCTGCTTTCCCAGGCCGTCAGGATGGGAACTGGAGCAGCCAGGCGTCGAACCAGTGCCATAGCGTATCCCAGTGCTTGCAAGGGGAGGATTAGCCTACCATGCCATAGCGCTGCTCCCCCCACCCCCAGCCACTTAAAAAATTCTAAGTCTCCCTGTTCTAGATGATGGCTTTAAGAGTCAGCATGCATGCCATGCCCTGTGCCGTAAGCCCCGGACATCTGGCTTGTCTTTAAACTTTGAGCACAGGTGTTGACAGCTTGTCCCTAGTGGCGGTGTGCTGCTTGTGAGGAATTTCCTCGTGTGTGTCAGTCGTCTCCTACTCTGGAAGGCAGGAATGCCAGCCACTTTGTCACATTGGGCTTCTTAATATAATCACCCACATTCAGAGCCCAGTGCTGTAACCTAGCAGCTAAAGTCCTCGCCTTGCATGTGCCGGAATCCCATACGGGCGCTGGTTCTAATCCAGGCTGCTCTATTTCCCATTTACCTCCTTGCTTGTGGTCTGGGAAAGCAGTGGAGGATGGCCCAAAGCCTTGGGTCCCTGCACCTACATGGGAGACCTAGAAGAGGCTCCTGGCTCCTGGCTGTGGATTGGTTCAGCTGCAGCCATTGCAACCACTTGAGGAATGAACCAGCGCATGGAAGATCATCTTCTCTGTCTCTGCTCTCTGTAAATTTGCTTTTTCAATAAAAATAAGTAAATCTCAAAGAGATCCACATCCAGACCTGGCTTGGTCTTCCACTTTCTTCCAAGCACTGGAAGGCTATTTGCTGTCAGGGCTCTGTTGTCCATCCTTGCGTTAGTCTGACGTGTCAGGGCTAGTTGCACTGTGTGCTGACGAAATGTGTCCTGTGAATGTTGACCTTGTTCCTTGGGGACTCCAGGCTGACCCTGTGTAATCCAGGATGGTGCCTGGCGCGTGCTGTGGCCATCCCCGCCCATGGAAGCCAGAGGCATTCAGTGAATCACACGGAGGCCGTCCTGTGGCCTGGGTCATCTCGGCTATTACAGACTTGTAGACGTGTCCCAGCAGAGCGAGAGTCACCAGCCTGAGGGTGTCCAAAACTGTAGCTGTTCTCCCATTTCTTAGCTCAGCCTCTAAGCAGCCTGTTAGCTGCGGGCAGGGGCTGGTGCAGTTCCTTCAGAGCCTGTGGCCCTGTAAGGGAAACTGCGGGTGTCTGGCTGGAGGAGCCGCTGCGGCACGTGTCCCTCTGACCCTCATGTCATCCCTCTCCCCCCGCAGAGGGCCCTGGCAGGTGGTGGCTGGCTGACTGCCGAGTTCATCTTCTGTCACTTCCATGGGGATGTCGTGAGGGCGTGGCTGTTAGGAGGGCCCTCCATTTTGTCCTTTGTCTCGGACTTTGTCCCGGAGAAACAGTAACACACAGGTGAATTCATTCATGAAACCATGAAATATATTCCATCTGCGTTGTGCTGCTCAGGGTAGAGCGGTGGGGCGGTGGCTCCCGCTCTCTAGCTGCTGCTGCCTGGCGGAGGCGGTAGGCAGGAGCCCCTCCTCACGGCGCCCTGGGCGGAGTGCGAAGGTGGCCACCAGGCGGGGCAGCCTTCTGCCGGGTCCTGTAGGATTCATCGGGGGCAACAGGCCGCCCAGGGGCTAACATACCTGGCAGCACATGTTGAGGCCCCTGGCAGCAGAGCAAACAGGAAGTGGAGTTGCGGAGGAGGGTCCAGTGTGCAGAGCAAGCAGGAGGTGGCTGTGGGGCCTGATCACAGCTCAGCAGCTGCTTGCCTGACCCTGGCAGCCAGCACTGGGCGGGGGTGTGAGATGGGGTTTGGTGAGGCCATTTCTCTCTCTCGGGTCCTGCTTTTGCTCTGTCCTGGGCCCAGCCCTTGGCTAGCCTGTAGCAGGAGCAGGTGCTTGGGGCCCGAGCTTCCCACTGCCCAGGGATGCCAGGGAGGTGCCCTGGGCCTGAGTGCGATTGCTCCCTGGGGGCACCTGGAGTCCCAGCTTCAGCATGTGGGTTCTCATCAGGTGGTTTTTGGAACAGTCTCTCTTTTACGTCCAGGTTTGGGTCCTAGGACAGTTTCTGCACACATAGGTCATGGGCATTCACCCTGCATTTCTTCTAGGACGTGATTGGTTTTGTCACCTGTCTCAGTAACAGGACCTGTAGCATCGTGTCTCAGCAGAGAGAATGGCTAGTCCCTGGCCGTCCTTGTCAGGCGTCCCTGCACTCTTGCCCTGCTAGCCAAGCTTAGAGTTAGCTAGTCGAGGTCCAGAAATGAAACGAAATCTTCTGATGAATTTTTGGGGTCGTTGGCTGTGTCCGTCCCCGTGAGGAGAAGGGACACCTTCTGACACTCAGGCTGTCCGTCTGAGGACACTTCCCGTTTGTCCAGTTACTTCACTGTCAGGAGAGTTTGGCTGTTTTCTTGCTTTATAAATGGGATCTTGTCTTCTGTTATAGCTTCGAGGTGTTTATTGTTGGATCTAAAATAAACATGTATATAAGCTAGCTTTCATTTCTCCTGTCCGCCGCTGTTTCCGTTTTCTGTTTGTGTTTTGTTTTGATTCTCTGGAATTTTCTTTTTTTTTAATTAATTAATTTATTTTTTATTGATTACATTGCATTATGTGACAGTTTTATAGGCACTGGGATTCCCCTCTCCCCTCCCCAAAGATTCTCTGGAATTTTCTAGCTATGCTCTCACAGCAGCTGCAGGTGGAGATAATTTTTTGTCTTTTGCATCCTGAACTTTCTAATCAGTTTCCTGGTTGCATTGGCTGATGTAATACAGTAGTCGAAGTGACAGAAAGTGGCCACCTTGACTTGTTTCTGACCTTATGGGGATCCCTGAGGTGTTTCTTTGTTAAGACGTTGTGATTTCTTTAAAGTATATATATTTTTATGTGTTGTATTTATGTATTTACATGAAGGAAAGATCCTTCGTATATTGGTTTGCTTCCTTACAACAAAACTTGGTACCTTCCCCTGGCATGCCTGTGGAGGCTGCTCTGTGTGAATGTTCTCAGATGCCCCCGTGGACTCACCCCTCACCTGCTCCGGGTGGCTGGCATGGACACATGCAGCCGGCTTTTCCAGGACGCCTCTTGCTGTGGGGGCTTCAAAGGACTCCATAGCTCAACGGCTTCACCCGCTGCATTCCTGGCTCCCACGCTGTGAAGGTTCTCAAGAGAGGCCAGCAGGGCCCTCAGGGCTGAGTGCTTGGCCATGTTCAAGTGCCCATTGGCCTGTTCAGTCCTCATCTCAGACTACCCAGGGATCACTCATCCTGTTTTAGGAGGAGGTAACCTGTGGGCCTGGGGCGTTCCTCAGCCCAGATCACACAATGAGGAAGAGTTGGACCAGTATGTGTGACTGCTAGGCCGAGGCTTTCTAAGGGATAGGGCATGCTGAGACCAAAAGAGGGGTGTGGCAGAGGTTCTGAGGAGGCGGCTCAGCTGGATAGGGAAGCCAGAGTGGGTGTGAGTGCGCCCTGGAGGATGGCTGTGGTTAGGCCACCCCAGCTCAGGTGGAGCAGGGGTGCCAGAGGGCCACAGATGCGAAACCCAATGATGGCCGGCAGGTCAGGGGCCCACAGGAATGGTAGAAGGCACGAGGGGTTAGAATCGAAGCACAGAGAGTCGGCGCAGGGTCAGTGAGCGCTCCCTGCACCCACACCTGCACCTGAGGCTACACGTGTGCGGGGTGGGCAGCACCTGGGCAGTCCTCTGCTGCCTTTCCTAGGTCATTGACAGGGAGCTGCATCGGAAGCGGAGCACCTGGAACTTGAACTGGTTCTTGTATGGGATGCCACATCACAAATGGTAGCTTAACCCACGACACCACAATGCCAGCTCCTTTGTATTGGTTTTTACTGTGACTTTTTGGCCAAGAATCCCATGACCTCTCGTGTGGTCTGGTGGCACTGCTCTTGTGCGTGCTATGAAGTTAGCTGTTTTAGTCTTGGTTTTTCATCATTATACAGAAAATGGCAAATGATGGTTTAATATTGTCAAAACAGTTTGACCTCATGAACTTCCTGAAAGGATTTTGGAATTCCCCACCTACTCACATTGTCACTTACAAGCTGGTGACATAGTCCACTATTCCTGTCATGTGGGTGTCAGAGGAAGAGCCAGCCGTGATTCTAGAAGGAGAACTGTGCTGGGGAGCCAGCAGATGAGCCTTGATGCCCTCCTGGGGCCCCAGCACCCCCTGCGAGCTGGTGCTCCTGGCCCGCCTCAGGTGGAATGAGTCCTGAGGAAGCAGGCTGCAGGTTGAGCGCCCTTCTGAAAGGGTGCCCAGTGCCTCTGCCGCCTCTGGCATTGAGGACTAATGTGGTGCAATGGATGCCAAATGGTGATGCCAGGCTTTCAGGGCATGGCACCATCTGCTGGCAGCTGGCTTGGGAACTTTCCCCAGCTAGATTTTGCTGTCTCAGAATGGAAGTGAAAGCAAGACTTTAATGAAGATTATGGGTGAATCTTAGTTGGCCTGGTTTCAGCAGACTTCATTTTTATGCTAGAAAACTGACTCAGTAATCAAGCTAAACGTGAAGTGTTTTAAATGTGGACATTGATGTTGTGAATGTGCAGGCCAGTGGCCTAACACCCTCTTGTGTCCTCTGTCTGCAGCGATGGAGGAGTTAATAGTTGAACTTCGTCTCTTTCTGGAGCTCTTGGACCATGAGTACCTCACCTCGACCGTCAGGGAGAAGAAGGCCGTGATAGCCGACATTCTGCTGAGGCTGCAGTCGGCCAAAGGTGGGCGCTCCCTGCACTTGCCTTCTGTAAACGTCGATCTTGTGACCTTTTTATTATTGCCGTATGGACTGCAGATTTCGTGAGTTTCATAGACAGAGTACTAGGGTACAGAGCCACACCCCTTCCTCCGTCCTTTCCCTTGATTTTTTGTGCTCACACGGTCACGGGCTCCGTGCTCCTCTGGCAGCTCTGAAGCACAGGGGTGGGCCAGCGCTGCAGACGGCAGCCAGCTCCCAGGCTGTCAGCTCAGCTCGTCACACAGTCGGGGCGGTGTAGCTTAGCTGCAGCCAATCCAAGGAAGGACACGGTACGGGGCTTTTTGGGTCTGGTTGATTTTATCAAGCATGATGGTCTCTACTGAATCCACTTTATTGCAAAATATAGGCTTTTGTTGTTTTTATGGCTGGTTAGTATTCCATTGTGTACAGATTACATTTTTTCTTTAGGTGATGGTCATCTGGGTTGATTCTATATCTTGGTTATCTTGAGAGACCTCTCATTTCCTTTGGTGAATTCCCAGGAGTGGAATGTCTGGGTCAGGTGGTAGCAGGATGCCTGGGTCACGTGGTCCTGGAATGCCTGGGTCACGTGGTCCTGGAATGCCTGGGTCATGTGGTCTGGCATGCCTGGGTCACGTGGTCCTGGAATGCCTGGGTCAGGTGGTCTGGAATGCCTGGGTCACGTGGTCCCGGAATGCCTGGGTCACGTGGTCCTGGAATGCCTGGGTCACGTGGTCCTGGAATGCCTGGGTCACGTGGTAGATCTGCTTTCAGATTTCCCAGGGTTTCTCAGACTGTCTTCCAGTGCTGTGTTGGGGGTCCGCCCAGTGCTGTGTTGGGGCACTTTTCTCTGCACATTCTCTTTACTTTTGGATGTGAGTCATTGCACTGGGTGAGGCGGAACCTCCCTGGGCTTGCTTTCTTTGTTGTTGCATTTCCCTGGTCTGCTGGTCCTCATCGTTTTGATGTCTCTGTTGGCCATTTGTATTCCAGTTTTTTTGATTACAAACCATATTTCACTTGATCATCTTTCCAAAATTGGTTCATCTGTTCACTAGTTTAGGAACTGAATTACTCAGCAGCCTCACCTCTAAAACCTGTCCTTGTCCCAGCTGCTGTGTCTTCGTCTGGTCTAGGGTGGTCCAAGCTGCAGGGGGCTGGTAGAACCACAAACACTCTGGGACCCCCAGAGCCCCAGAGCATTTGGAGCTGAGCTGGGCGGACTCCCAGTCTCAGCATATGGGTGGCTGTGTTCCACGGCGGGGAGAGGACAGCTTGCTCAGAAGAGAAAGGTCCCAGGCAGGCTAGAGGAACCACGTGTTTCTCCTGTAGGAGCCACAGGGAGCCCGCTCTCTGCCCAGCACAAGGGGCAGCAGCTGGGTGTGGCTTTCCTGTTCAGGGAAACCCACCAGCCTCCCGGGCTCATGGTCTCATTGAATCAGGGCCTGAATCTTGGCCTGTAGGTGCACTCTCCCTGGCATGTGCAGGGGTTAGCATACACCGAGTGGGTGCACTGGCGGAGCAGTGACAGGAAGCCAGCCTCAGCCCTCGGGAAGCCGGGCTATGCTCCTGGCCCCGGCTGCAGGCTGGCCTTGCAAGAGCCCCAGTCCAGATGGCAGCTCTGCTCTGTGCGTGTGGCTGAGGCAGACACAGGGACCAGGGAAGCTGTGGGGTTCTCTTGGAAAGAGTAGCAGGGTGTTGCAGGAGTCCCTGGGCAGAGGATCAGTCCAGCTCAGAGAGGGGAGTGTGGCAGCTGGGAGGAGAGGCGCTCCCCAGAGGCGGGGGTGGAGGTTCAAGGCCCGAATGGTCCTGTGCCACAGCAGCTGCAGGGACTTGAGGCGGCTCCCCTGTCATCCCTTTCCTGGCTTCTGGCATGGTGCCAGGCACAGCGTGGGTGATGAGGGCTGCATGGGATTGCTTTATAGGTGGTCTCCTGGTGTATAAGCAGGGCTCAGTCCAGATGGAAGCCTTGTCCTCTGGTTTCACACTTGGCCTCCTCAGCTTGTACTGGGGTGCCCTGAAGGCTGTCAGCGGCTCCCCTGGGTCTGCCATGGTGTCTGACTTCACCCAGGTCCTTCCTAAACTACACTGATCCCAAGGCACCCCAGGACAATGTCACCCACTAATGCCATGGAGAAGGAAGGGCAGGTGAGGGGCAGCTGGAGCCAGCAAGAAAGGGCTGAGAACGTGCTGGCTCCGGCCTCCTGCTGCTCCTTCTGTTACTACTGCCTTCATGTGGCCTTTTTCTTTCCTTTCCTTTTTCAACATATTTGTGACCTGTAAAATGCTGAATAACAGTCCCCACCTGCTCTTTTTCCCCGACCCAGCCTCCCTCCTCATGCTCTCTGCTTTGGCTGATCCTGCAGGTTTTGAAGTGAAAGACCATGCTCAGAAGCAGGAGGCCACCAGCAGCCTGCCGGCGCCCCCTCAGCTGCCTCTGCCCGAGATCCCGCAGCCCTGGCTGGTGAGTGTCCGTCATGGAGCCATCATCCCTGAGTGTGTTTCTAGGGCGAGGAGAGCCATGGGGTAGCCTTCCCCTGGGCAGCCAGGGTTTATTTGCAAGCTGCTGTGGCTCTAGGTCCAATGACATCTGCATCTGGGAATTTAGCAGGTCAGCGTGTAGGTGAGCCCGAGGGCTTGGCCCTCTTCCCTACTCTGGGTCACCCTGGATGTGAATATACTTCAGTCACATTTAGGAGGCTTGGCACCAGCCGATGCCACTGACCCCTGTGCTGTAGCTCCTGGCTGCTCCACTTCCAGTCCATCTTCCTGCTAATGTGCCTGGGAAAACAGCAGAAGATGACCCTCTTACTTGGGCCCTGGCATCCCCGTGGGCCACCCCAAGGAAGCTCCTGGCCCCCGGCTTTGGTCTGGCCCGGCCCCAGCCGTTGTGGCCGTGTGGGGACTAACCCTCAAAAGGAAGCTCTCTGCCTCTCCCCTCTGTAACTGTGCCTTTCCAGTAAGTGTGTCATTTTTTAAAGCCGTGGTTATACTTCTATGTTTATATTGATTTTCAGTGGAGAAAAGCATGTGCCTATTCTGGGAATGTGTATTTTATTTGATTTTATACAGTAAACATTTTTTTTTTTTTGCCAATTTTCTCACCCTGAGGATACTTCTGTGTGCAGTTTTTGTTTTGGTATTTTACTGTGGCAATCAGCATTTTCTGCGTTTTGCTGTTTTCTAACTTGCTGACTCCGGGAATCTGTACTTTTACTCAGTTTGGGGCAGAATCAGCCTCTCTGAGTCTTTTTGTGTGTTTGCTGTCATGTCCTGTCGTCCCAGAGTGTGGAGCATGCGCAGGCAGGGCTGTGTCCTCCCGCTGTGTCTCTGTGGGGACCCTGGCATAGCAGGTGCCCAGGGATCGCTGATGTGCGGAAGCTCCCTGACCAGGTCCTCACTGTTCTCCACAGGGCGTGTGTTTCAGGACCTCCGCGGACACGTGGGGCCTCAGGCAGGACAACCCTTAGTGGACTAGGAGTTTTTCCTATACATTCACAACTTGATAAAGTTTGTTTATAGATTAGGCACAGTAAGAGAATGAACCATGGTGACTAATAAAAAGGTAACTGCAACATATGCTTTGATCCAAATCATTTGTATGAGCTTATTATTTTATTTCTGGAATTTTCCACCTACTATTTGTGGGCAACAGTGGGCCCTTATGTGAAACCTCCACGAGTGAACCAAGGTTAAGGTCTCCTGTAGTTCCCTCTGAACTTGAAAAGGGCACGTGATGTGAAGCCAATGTGCCCGTTTCTGCAGCCGGCAGTTGGAGCTTGGTGAGCGTGTGGGTTGGCTGAAGGGCATGAGCAAGTAGAAAAAGCAAACCCTGAAACCTCATTTCAGAAATGTCAGATCCATCTTTCTGGCCGCATTTCCTCCCTGTGCTGGCCAGGACAGGCCCTGCACCTCGGCAGTGGTGGCTGAGCAGCCACATCAGGGTCTCTCCGGGTCAAGGGGGATGTGGAAGGTGTGGTGTGGGGAAGCCCCTCACGGATAGCTAGCAGCGAGGTGGCACACACAGAGTTAGAGAAGCTGCATGCCATCTGTGGCTTGTTGTCTGGTGTGTTCTGAGCCAATGGCACGGTTGTCTGTGGCCCGTGCTCTGCAGGCTGTGTAACTAGGTGCTGCACTGCCTTGCAGCTGGCCGGGTGGAGGGACACTCCAGTGGCATGTCGTGTGAGTGACGTCACGTCTGCTCCAAGGGCACTGGGCAGTGGGGCTCACCTGTTGTCACCTTATGCCACCACTGTTGCAGTAGAAGCTGTGGTCGAGGCTCAGCTGGTAGGCCCCATGTGGCTGCAGGAACTTCTAAAACTGGTAGGAAAAGTTGGTGGGTTTTTCTTTTCTTTGTATAACAGTTGAGTATTTCTTTGCAAGACACAGACACAGACACGTGGAATTACCAGTTCACCTCCCAGTGCCCACTGTGGAAAGAGCTGGACTAGGCTGAAACCAGAAGCCCCAAATTCCAACCCGGTCTCTGATCTCCAAAGCAGGGGTCCACATCCTGGCCCTGTGTGGCCTCCTGGCAGGAAGGGGGAGTGGGGAGCGGACCTGGAGCTCACCCCGGCGCTCCTGCGCCAGATGCTGCCCTGCGGGAAGTGCCAGCCCACGCATGGCTCCCAGTTCTGTGCTGCGTTACACTCTGGGCTGTACATTGAAATCTACAGTTCCTGGTATATTGAATACATAATTTTATTTCTAAATTTTATTTATTTTAAAGACTCATTTACCTATTTGAAAGGCACAGTTAGAGAGAGAGGTTTCTTATCTCTGTTGGTTCACTTTCCAAATGACCAGGCAGAAGCTTAGAACCTGAATCTTCTTTCGGTTTCCCACCTGGTGTGGGGTCCGGGCGCCTGGACTGTCTCCCGCTGCTTCTAGCTGCCTTAGCAGGGAACTGGGTCAGAACTAAAAGGCAGGTGGGGACCCAGAGTTATATCCTAGTGGCTAAAGTCCTTGCCTTGCATGCACTGGATCCCATATGGGCACTGGTTCTAATCCAAGCAGCCCCACTTCCCATCCAGCTCCCTGCTTGTGACCTGGGAAAGCAGTCGAGGACGGCCCAGAGCCTTGGGACCCTGCACCTGCGTGGGAGACCCAGGAGAGGCTTCTGGCTTCAGATTGGCTCAACTCTGGCCGTTGAGGCCAGAAGATCTTCCTCTCTGTCTCTCCTCTCTGTATATGTGACTTTCCAATAATAAATAAATCTTGGGGGAAAAAAAGAAGCTGGGACTTGAACTGGCAATCTTACGAGAGGCCAGTGTCACAGGCAGCCAGATTAACCCACTCTGCCACAACAGTCCCTGCATGTTGCTGCTTTTCCTTCTTTATAAAATTATTGTAAAATAATTGTTGTGCTTTGTTTAAAGATTTATTTATTGAAAGAGTTACAGAGAGAGTGAAAGAAGTCTTCCATCTACTGGTTCACTCCCCCAAATGGTCACAGCATCCACAACTGGACTGACCTAAAGCCAGGAACCAGGAGCCTCTTCCGGTTCTCCCACACGGGTGCAGGGATCCAAGGACTTGGGCCATCCTCCACTGCTTTCCCAGGCCACAAACAGGGAGCTGGATGGGAAGTGGAGCAGCTGGGACACGAACCGGTGCCCATTAGGAAGCTGACACCATAGGCAGAAGCTTAGCTTGCTATGCCACAGAAGTGGCCTCATTGTTTTTTAAAAAACCATTTATACTGTTTGTAATAGAAACTTAGCTGTTTATGTTTTATTCTCATTTGGTATTTTTACTCCATAAACTCAGAAATTTCAGTCCCATTGATTGATGACGAGTGGTTCATCTGCTGGATGGCAGCGTAGCTGGGCAGTGCAGGCACAGTTCTCTGAGTAGCTTCAGCCTGTGCCTGCACTCAGCTTGCACTGCGGTCTCCCTGAGGGGTCAGGTGTGCTGTGATCATCACGCTCTGTGCTTCAGCCGGGGCTCAGCTGAGGCAGCCGAGGCTCAGGGCTACCTGGGGTCCCAAACCTGGCTTCCTGTCCCACCTGCCAGCCACGTGGGTGCCAGTGGCAGACAGAGTCCGCCTGGAGCGGCCAGCCATGGAGTGATGAGTCCGTTACTGCAGGCTGTTCTCAGACGCAGCTGCGCAGTGTGGACTCTTTCCTCCTCTCTCCCCCGCCTGTCTGTGCTGTCGCCCGCTGGGCAGAGGGGACTCCCAGGTGCTGAGAACACCCCCATAGGCTTTAACTATCTTCAATTTAAATAAGTTTTAGAGTGACAGTCCTACTAGGGCGTAACTTCTCCCTTCTTGGGCCTCGCCCCTGGATCTGGTGGACATGAAGCCCACCAGAGACCTGCATGAACGCTGGCACGTAAGTCCACGCAGAGCAAGGCGTGTGCACCACCTTGCCAGGAGGGGTGCCCGCCGAGTGCCGTGCATACACACCCCCACCCCCGGCCTAGCTGGCTGAGCGCCCACAAGACCTTCTTGGAAGTCACCGCCGAAGAGCCTGCCTTCCCTTGTTCAGCCCGCAGGACAGAGAGGGCCCTGCACTCGGCCCGTGGACGCAGAGCCGGGCCCTGCACTCGGCCCGTGGACGCAGAGCCGGGCCCTGCACTCGGCCCGTGGACGCAGAGCCGGGCCCTGCACTCGGCCCGCGGGACACAAAGTCGGGCCTGTACTTGCCTGTGGACACAAAGCTGGAGCTTACACAGCCTGTGTTACACAAAGCCGAGGCCCTATGCTCAGTTGGTGGTACAGCCACTCTGCATGCACAGAGACTGAGAGCAGAGGCCAGTGGGATCCAGTGAGGAGGTGCCCGCTCGGAGGATGAGCCCCCAGTGCCTTAGGTCAGATTCGCAAGACTGCAAAGCCTTAAACCAGTCTCTTTAAACAAGTAATTTGAATAGTTTGTTAGCCTTTTTCTTTTTTGAAATAAAGAAAAAATGCTCACTTTTGAGTGAAAAATTGCAAAGAGCTAGCTTGCAAATTCAGCAACAACCACAAAATTCTCTGTATGATTTGGGACTCTTACTGCAGGGCGAAGGCGGGTTAGAGATGTGATGACCGCAGAGGGTAAAACGGGACAGGGTCGGGCCAGCAGAGCACTCTGACCACTTCTGAGAAGCCTGGTCGCGGCCGCTGGGAGGGGAGTCAGCCTGACCACAAACGTTCCTTTACGACCAAGTACAACCTCGGCTTGCGCTACGAACTGTGCTTGCAGCAACACAACAGAACAGTGAAAACCCAGGCAGGGTGCATCACATCTGGAAGCTGTGTGTCCTCGGGCCGAGTGCAGGGCCCGGCTCTGCGTGCACGGGCCGAGTGCAGGGCCCGGCTTGGTGTCCACGGGCCGAGTGCAGGGCCCGGCTCGGTGTCCACTGGCCGAGTGCAGGGCCCGGCTCGGTGTCCACGGGCTGAGTTCAGGGCCCGGCTCTGCGTGCACGGGCCGAGTGCAGGGCCCGGCTCGGTGTCCACGGGCCGAGTGCAGGGCCCGGCTC